AGAAGTAGCTAAGAGAATACGCCATCCCCTTTTCCTTATGAATCAGGGTGAAGTCTCTCTCAGGGAGGAGTGATAGGGAATGGCAAAGGACACACAAAGGAGATTAATCAGAACTGGCTTTGACAAGCACTGTGGCAATTGGACAATTAAAACAGACATTCGGGGGGGCGGGGGAAGAACGAACTGGGGAGGAGGGTAGAGAAAACAGTGCAATAATGAATGAATGAAAACCCAAAATCTCTGTAAATGTTCATTAAAACTAATAAAATTTAATAATAATTTAAAAAAAAAGATTACAACCAAAGCGACAGCAGTTTGTCATAAATTGCTGAAACGGAAAGTAACTTGCTATTCAAGTTTCACCTACACCACAAAAACATGCTAAAAATAATACATTAACAGGTATCCCTTATTCTTTCTTTTAGCAAATATTCCATATAAACATAACCACAATTGTTGTAGTTGTTATGTGACCCTATGTACAACAGCCCTAAACCCTGCTCTATCCTTTGCCAATCTTATCATCTCTGAGACACCCACCTCCATTATCCCAGTCACTGAATTACCCCATCTCATCCAGGGTCTTCCTCTCTTGCACTGTTTCGCCACCCTCTCAAGGAAGACATACCTCTCCAAGAACTGGTCCTGCCTTGTAACATGTCCAAACCAAAGTATGTCAGACAAGCTTAAGAATTCTTGCCTCCAAGGAGCAGCCTGGTCACCCCCGTAGGATAAACCTCTTTGTTCTCCGAGCAGTCCATGGCATATTAAATATTCTTCTCCAGTACCACAGCTCAAAAGGCATCAATTCTCTTTCTATCATTCCTAGTCATTGTCCAGCTTTCTGAAAGCAAAGCAAGTAACTGAAAAGACTATGGCCTGGATCGGGTGCACCTTTGTCTCCAAAGTGACATCATTGCTCTTCAGTACTTTGGTGAGGTCTCTGACAGCAGACTTTCTCAATGTAATTCGTCTTTACTACAATACAATGTGAAATGTATTATTACAATGCTTGAAAGTTTTATTAAAATGAGTTAGAAAAAAGTACTCTGAGAAACAATAAATGGAAGAGATTACACTCTAGAGAATGACAGAAATCTTTAGCAGTAAAATTTAGATTATTAAAGCATGTTGTTTCTCAAGAAGTTATGGCCATGGCCTTGGCCCTGCACTGCAAACGCAGAAGAGACAACTGATAAAGGCAGGAAGCACTCAAAGCGCATGTCAGCTTGGGAATAGAGTGACTGAAGCATCAGAGGAGTGAGGGTGGTAAAGGAAGAATTAAAAACAGGAGTAAGAAAAACAAGATTGGAGTCTAAGACTAGAAATTGAAAGGCAAAGGTGTACTTAATTCATTCTATAAAGAGTGTCTCACTTCAGCCATTTATGTATGGGAGCTATGATGTCTCTATTTACCCTATTTATTTATATGAGCAATATTCACTACCAACAATACAAACAGTAAATATTCACACCTCCTCCTCCACAAATAAATTTTAGACCTCCTGCCAACCACCTACTTTCTAGAATTCCACGCTTGTTATGTGCTGTCGAGTCAGAA